ATTGGGACACAATAAATGAAAGGTCTGATTCCCTTTCTAAAATAACTGAATCAGTGGTGCCTTCTAAAATAATGGAATAACAGTCTTACCTTCAGGAAAGGACTATAAACTCCTTAAAAGAACAGTTAAGTCACTTATCAGGTGGTTCTTGAGAAAATCAAGGACCACTGGTGACATCGCATGAAAAGAAACTTTTTGCAATTATATATACTTTAAAAGTATAGTGACCTTATATCGATAGATAAAAATTCACAGTTATTACTGATCATGCTTCCCTTGCATACCTTAAAAATCAACCTAACTTGTCACAACGACAAGGACGATGGCTCGACCTTCTGGAATCACATGATTTCAATATAAAATATCGACCTGGCAAAACTAATGTTGTTGCCAATGCTTTATCTCACCAACTCCAACTCCATAACCTTACTATTTCTGCTGGTAACACTTTTGATATTGAATAACTCCACCAATATTATCAACAGAATACATATTTTGAACCAATCCTACAAATATTTTACACTAATAACTTATCTTTGTCATCTGCTGCCCATAACTACGAATATATTAACAAACGAATATATCTCTGAAATACTTCACGACTAGCTGTACTAAACAACAAACAGTTACAAACTTTACTTTTGCAAGAAAGTCATGATACTATTACCTCTGGTCATCTAGGAGTTAAGAAAACTCTCGCTTTGTTACAACGAAACTATTTTTGACCCTGTATGAATAAAGATGTACATAAATATGTAACCTCTTGTGACTTATGTCAAAGGAATAAGGCTTCTAATAAAGTTCCCACTGGAATGTTACAACTACTGGATATTCCTTTGAAACGATAGGATACTGTTACCATAGACTTTATTGTACAACTTCCACACACAAAACAGAAACATGACGCAATTGTGGTGTTTGTTGAAAAATTATCTAAACAATCTTATTTCTGTCCTCTTACTACTACTGCTACTGCGTCTGAAGTAGCAAACATTTTTTTTAACACTATATTTAAAAATCATAGTTTACCAAAAGTTATTATTTCTGATAGAGACCCAAAATTCACAAGCCATTTCTGGAAAAAAGCTTGGAACAAAACTTGCCATGTCCACTGCCTTTCATCCCCAAACAGATGAACAGACTGAACAAATGAATCATATCTTGGAAGAGATACTTCGTACTTATACTAATTACAAACAAGATAATTGGGATAAACTGCTACTTGCAGTTAAATTTGCCTATAACAACTCCAAAAATATTTCCTCTAATTTTACACCATTTGAAATTGACTTAGGTCAACATCTGAACACACATTTTTCATTAACTGCAAATCTTGAAACTAATGTTACTGTCTCAGATGAAATATTACAAAATTGAAACAATACTATCAAAACTACGCAAGATAACCTTCACCTCACATAAGAAAAACAAAAGAAATATTATGATCAACATCACCAAGAATTAACTTTTGACCTTGGAGATAAAGTACTCCTTTCATCTGCAAATATTCATGACCCTTCTCAAAAATACTGATCTACACAAAAGTTAACACCTAAATATCTTAGACCATTTACTATTGAACAAATTATTTTACCTACTATATATAAATTAAAACTTCCACCTACTCTCAAAGTACACTCTGTTTTCTATATTTCCAATCTTAAACTATATAATGAAAATGATCCTGAACAATTTGAATGAGAAATATCACCACCTCCTGTTATTACTGATACTGATGATGAACCTGAATTTGAATATTAGATGTTCGTACATATCGTGAAAAGAAACAATACTTGATAAAATGGATGGGATACCCTTCACATGATGTAACATGGAAACCCGAAAGTAACTTATCTAATGCTACTGAAATTCTAGCTGAGTTTAAACAAAATAATTAATGAGGATGTTAATTCTTCAAGTGTGGAAAAATGTAATGGTTTACAAGGATCCCCCTGCTTTTTGTTTTTGATTTCCTTCTATATTTTCTTTTATTATTATCTTATATATATTTCTTTATTTAATTTAGATTCTATTCTGAAACCATATGGGATTGTCAAGGATTATTAGGATAATCATTTAATAGCTTTATTAATAATATTATATTTCATATTCAATTTTAACAATCTGTAGATTAATATTTATCATTAATATTATGTGAATAGAATTGTTTTTATTTTTTTTTTATTTTATTTCTGTTTTTATATTTTATTTATTTTATTAATTCTTTTATTATGCCAAGCCCAAATTCGGATAAAAGGATTTTAAGCCCTAAGTATTATTAAATGTTTATATATTTTATTATGTATTTTTACTTTTGTAATTTTATATAAATAAGGTATAAGAATAATAAAGAAAAGGGTAAATTTCATTCTGTTCAAATAATTATTTATTTATTTATTAAATACTCTATTTGACCGAATTGTCTCAATTTACTTTTTTTTACTTGTAATTATAAATGAGTTAGGACAACTCATTACACAGAATAAGTATTTTACAGGTTAGATCCATTGATTATCTATTAAATAAAAAATCTTAGTTAATAAAATTCACATGTTTGAGATAGCAAATATACAATATAAGTTATAGTAAAATAAGAGATAAATTAAGTGAATATGCTGAAAATTATATTGTTAACAATATCAGAAGTATGGTTATGATTTGCAAAATATTATTCACCAAAAAATATACATAAGCATTTATTAAAACTAGGATATGAAATAAATAGTAGAGATGATTTAACTACTTATAAATAAATAGGTAATAACCCTAAATATAGGGATTTTAAAGTTCAACTAGCATTGTATAAAGAAAATCGTATATCATTAATTATTCAGCAGGCATATTATTTATGAAAAAAACAAATTAATTTAGCTAAAATAATCTAGTGTGCAGTAATTAAATGACTTTATTGACCCGATAGATTATTTATGAAGCAAGCCAAAGATTGATATTATCAAAATACAAATAAGTTAAGTTAAAAATATTAATTTCATTTCAACTACATTAATAAACCATGATAATTAGATTTTTTATGTATTACGTAATATGTTTCTATTATCTGTGATCAAAGTAGAGTCAATCGTAGAATTGATCACGACATAATAAAATATTTTACAGGTTATATCCACATGTTTTAAAACTTATAATATTAATCGTGTTCATATCTACATATTTTTTGTATGACTCAATTTCTCACATATACATTAATTCAATATTTTTTCTAATTTTTATGTTTTTTCACCAATTATAAAACTTACCTTTTTATATCAATTCTGCTATAATAAATTTATAGACGTAATGTTATTTCGAGTTGAGGATATTTTTTGAGTGACGTATGAGCAAATATATGTAAAGGTTCGTAGTTCAAGAACTTATCTGTTGTGGCCATTATATTAAGAATGGAAAAAGTCTCAGTTACTAATCTTAAAAATCTTGTATATACTATCATAAAAAACTTCAATGACGATATAATCAAAAATAAGAAATTCACCAAGTTGCCTAACTGTGTAGAATGAGATAAGAAGGTTTTTGTCAACTTCAATAAAGCATTTACAGTTCTACTATGTGGCCACATGTATCATAGAATCTGCATTAAGAAAAAGTTTCTATTTACCAAGTAACAAACATATCCATTTCCAGACTGCGATAAAAGCATTAAAATTCTTAAGGAATTTATTAAACCCGATTTTCAATCTAGCACTTCATCAATAGTTGGGAAGATGAAAAAGTAATTTAATATCCAGTCTCAAGAAATTATTGATGAAGAAATGTCAGATGTCGATAATGGGGAAGATAAAGATAATTAACTGAGGAATAAAAGCATCGTCATGGTAGAAGGATCTCAAAAAAAACCTATTGAAGTTGATAAATACAATGCAAGATAAATCACTTATTAAGAAAATAAAAAAGAAAGTTAAAAATGAGAATTTCCAAATGTTAAAATAACTTATCAAAGAGTTAACTACTAATAGTCCGCAAGTATCTGAAATTAGCAAAGAAGCGGTGTCTGAATTATTTGAAGATTTACTTTATTTATATAATAATATTACTAATTCTGAATTACAAAAAGAGATTACAAGTAGAAAAGTTATCAAATCATATTTTTTATTTGGAAAAGTGGTATTACAATGTTTTGAGTATTATTATGAAAAATCGTATAATTTACATTAAGCTCAAATAGATATTAACAATAAGCTAAAAGAAAAACTTTCTGATACCTCTGAAAATACCTGTAAAAAGAAAGGAAAAAGTTCAGAAAATTTATTTCCTTTTCAATAATATAGATATCAAAAAAATAGAATTAGTAAAATCTTTTTTAGTAGATTCTATCTCAAAACTAAGTGTAGAGAAAATTAAATATATAAAGAATGAAATTATGAAAACTGCATCACAAATCATGTGACCCTGTTTTTCGGAACAAGATCACATGACATACATAGATCAAAGATTCATTATTAACAAATAATGTATTGTCATATATAATAAAGTTAAAATTCGTCTACTTGAATTATAAGTAATTTATGTATATGATATAAAGCTTAAACTTCATGTAATTGCAAAAAATAATTTAACTGATTTTTGTTAAGTATATATCAATTAGCTTTATTAATTATTTATTACAATAGTGAATTTCCATATTTCACAAATTCAGGCACATGATATATTATATTTTTTAGTTAGAATCAATAATGTATTTATTATACTCTTGATAGTAATAATATCACTAATCACTTTAGAGGATAAGCAGGTTACATCTGATCTTAGTCTTCTAACCATTTTATATATACAGAAAAATAAAATAGGAAATTTTTTTTTATTTTATTAAGTGTTAATAATTGAATGTGAATTCGAATACATGTGACGTGAAACTCCAAGAGAGCAATCCCATATGATCACAAAAAAATAATATACTAACTATTCCATAGATAATGATTTACGATATAAACACCTATCCAGCTCTAGTATAATTTTTTCAATCCTTTCATATATCATAACCTCCTCTAAAGACTCAGCTTTAAGTTTAGCATTTCCTCCCATAGCCTGTTTTAACTTTATATTCTCTACCTTAACCTTGATGTTTTCAGCTTCAAGTATAATAATATGTCGATTCAATAAATTGATTTTAGATTATGTATTTGCCATTGTTTTATATAAGATGTGGATATATTCAAAAGTTTGAATTAATAAATTCTCGATCATATATACATTGTACAAAAAATAACACATGATACGTGATTTGAAAAATCATCTAAAGACTTGTATACTTTTCTAACTAAAAAATCTTTATTAATAAATATATGATGATAAAAATACAAGAAAAATTATATGATATATGAAAAAAAATCTATCTATTTATAGGATGAGGATGTTACTGTGTGACTTTAGGTAGTATTTCTTGATAGATGTATATTGACTTGCTCTAGAGCTTATATCAATAAACTTTAGTTTACAATCATAATATTTCTAAGAGTTAAAAATAAACGAATAAGGGATTCTACACGTTGTTACTAGTCAACCTGTTGGGTGAAATAAGGTTCCAACAGGAGGTTTACAACTAGTAAACTTAAGCGATTCAAGTTAGATAACTAAATTATTAAT